GTCATTCTAGGTCTTCTAGCTATTTTGAATTATTAATTACAATTGCTCTACTGTGCTGTTGAACCCTAGAACTTTTTTTTTTTTTTGAGACACAGTCTGACTATATTGCCCTCAGTAGAGTACCATGGTGTCACAGCTCACAGCAACCTCAAACTCTTGGGCTTAAACGATTCTCTTCCTTCAGCCTCCCAAGTAGCTGGGACTAAAGGCATCCGCCACAGCACCCAGTTATTATTGTTATTTTTTTATAGACAGAGTCTCACTTTGTCACCCTTGGTAGGGTGCTGTGGCATCACAGCTCACAGCAACCTCCAGCTCTTAGACTTAGGAGATTCTCTTGCCTCAGCCTCCCAAGAAGCTGGGATTACAGGCGCCCACCACAATACCTGGCTATTTTTTGTTGCAGTTTGGCCAGGGCCAGGTTTGAACCCACCACCCTCGGTATATGGAGCCAGCACCCTACTCACTGACACAGGCACCACCCTGAACACTAGAACTTATTTTCTCTACCATTATGTCCATTAACCATCCTTTCTTCATCCCCTCCTTTTCTTCCTAGCCTCTAATAACCACAGTTGTCCTCTTTACGTCTGGGAGGTCCACTTTCTTAGCTCCCACACACCAGTAATAACGTTCAGGGTTTGTATATTGGTGCCTGACTTACTTCACTTTAACACAGGGTTCTCCTATTCCGTCCCTGATGCGGCACCTGACAGGATGTCATTCTATTCTGTGGTTGAATGATATTCTACATGTCTGCATGCACGCTTCATGTATTCATTCATCTGCTTGTGAACACATAGGTTGCTTTCTGTATCTTGGCTATTATGAGTAGTGCTGCAGTAAACCAGGGAGCGCAGATAGCACTTTGTTATGCTGATTTCCTTTCTTTTGGATGTGTAACCAGCAGTGAGATCTCTGGGTCACGTGGCATTTCTATCTTTAGTGTTTTGAGGAACCTCTATTCTGCTTTCCACAGTTGCTGTACTAAATTATGTTCCTGCCTACAGCATATGAGCCTTCCCTCCCCTTTCTCTGCATCTTTGCCAGCATCTGTTATTTTCTGGGGTTTTTTTTTTTTGTTGTTGTTGTTGTTGTTTTTTGAGACAGAGCCTCAAGCTGTCCCCCTGGGTAAACTGTGGCATCACAGCTCACAGCAATCTCCAACTCCTGGGCTCAAGCGAGTCTCCTGCCTCAGCCTCCCAAGTAGCTGGGACCACAGGCGCCCGCCACAACACATGGCTATTTTTTGGTTGCAGCCATCATTGTTGTTTGGTGGGCCCAGGCTGGATTCGAACCCACCTCCTTAGGTGTATGTGGCTGGCGCCTTAGCTGCTTGAGCCACAGGTGCCGAGACTTGTTGTTGTTATAGTAGCCATTTTAACTGGTGCCCCTGGACGTGGTGGCTCACACCTGTAATCCTAGCACTCTGGGAGACCAAAGGAGGTGGACTGCTTGAGGTCATGAGTTCAAGACCAGCCTGAGCAAGAGCAAGACTCTCTCTCTACTGAAAACAGAAAAACTAAGGCAAGAGGATCTCTTGAACCCAAGAGTTGGAAGTTGCTGTGAACTATGATGATGCCATGCACTCTACTCAGGGCAACAGCTTGAGACTCTGTCTCAAAACAGACAAACAAACAAACAAACATCTGGCCAAACAATATAAAAAATCTGAGAAAATCTTCTAACACAAGATCAATATTAAAACAGACCACATAAAACAACATGAGAGTGGAAGGCTGTCATCATCACCGAGGGATAAGACTTGCTGTTGCATTCAGGACATCCAGGAGATAATAAGGATGGTTTACAAATAAACAACAGAATAATCCCACCACCACATCCAAGCTTTTGAAAATTGAAACATAAGAATTTATTTAGTAGATGGTTTGGAACATAAAGTTGAAAACTCAGAGTAGATAGGCAAAGTGAAAAGAAGGAGAGAAAAAGGCTAGATAAGTAGAAGCCCAGTTTGGAAAGTCCAGTCCTGGAGTAACAGGGCAGAGACAGGAGAGAGGCAGTGAGAGAAGAAACAGTAGATGTAATCCAAGAGTATGAAAGGCAATCCAAGAATATATCCCACAATAAAAGGGTGTAAATTTCCAGATTGAAAGGGCCCACAGTTCCCAGCACAATGGATGAAAACACGTCCAAATCAAAGTCATTACAGTAAAGTTTCATTAGGATCAAAGAAGATTCTACAAGCTTCCAGAAATTTAAACAAAAGGGCCACATATTCAGAATGACTTCAAAGCTAGAAAAGAAGAAATCTTGCCTTCAAATCTGGCTGGACATAATTTCCAACCAAGAATTCAGCATCCATCTCACTTTTCGATTAAATTATTTACCACAAAAATTCTTTCCTTCCTAGGAAGATCACTAGGATATTCCACTTCAAAATAAGGGAGCAAGTAAAGAAAGGGGGGCACAACACCTAGAATATCATAAACAGGAAATCTAATGAAAAGGGAAGTCAGAAGGAGGTGAGGGCTCCAGATTGAGGTAGTTGAATCATAATTCTTTTGCCTGGTGGGGGTGAAGGGTAAAGTATGAGAAATACATATTTATGGAATGATGGTATGTGAACAGTGGGGAGTAGAGAGGTAAAAATCCTGTTTTACAGTGAAAGTCGACTAATAGGTAACATTATTTTTTTGAGACAAAGTCTCACTGTGTCACTCTGGGTAGAGTACATTGGCATCACAGCTCACAGCAACCTCAAACTGTTGGGCTTAAGTGATTCTCTTGCTTTAGCCTCCCAAGTAAGTGGGACTACAGGCGCCTGCCACAACACTTGGCTATATTTTGGTTGTAATTGTCATTGTTTAGCAAGCTGGGATGGGTTCAAACCCACCAGCTTTGGTGTATATGGCTGGTGCCCTAGCTGCGGAGCTACAGGCGCCATGCCAGGTAACAAAATTTTAAGACCAAAAAATAATACATGAATGAAATTATTAGAGTATATCTAATTGTTAAATTAAGAAATGGAATATAAACATTATTTAAGGATAACTATATCTGGTAGAGGTAACTACCAAAAGAAATAGCTACAGTTAGGCTGGGCATGGTGCCTCACGCCTTAATCCCACCACTGTGGGAGGCTAAGGTGGGAGGATCCCTTGAGCTCAGGAATTTGAGACCAGCCTGAGCAAGAGCAAGACGGTGTCTCTATTAAAAATAGAAAAACCATCTGGGTGTGGTAGCCCATGCCTGTTGTCCCAGCTCCTAGGGAGGCTGAAGCAAGAGGATCACTGGAGCCCAAGAGTTTGAGTTTTCTGTGCGTTGGGCTGACACCAGGGCATACTAGCCTGAGCAACAGAATGAGATTCTTAAAAAAAACAATAGCTAAAATTGTTAGAAGTGGTTGCCTCTCTGGCGCAAGATTGGAGATAGGGCAAGAAAGGAACCAAGAAATTTTTTTAAATTTTAAGCCCTTCAGAAATGTTTTATTTAAAATATGTACATATTTGAGTTAAAACATAAAAAATGAGGTGGCGCCTGTGGGTCAGTGAGTAGGGTGCTGGCCCCATATACTGAAGGTGGCAGGTTCAAACCCAGCCTCAGCCAAATTACAACAAAAACAATAGCCAGGCTTTGTGGCAGGCACCTGTAGTCCCAGCTAGGCGGGAGGCTGAAGCAAGAGAATCTCCTAAGCCCAAGAGCTGGAGGTTGCTGTGAGCTGTGATGTTACAGCATTCTACCTAGGGTGACAAAGTGAGACTCTGAATCTAAAAAAAAAAAAAAAAAAAACATTAAAAAATGGAAGATGGCAATATTGGAAAAGGCATTTGAGAAGCCAAGAGAAGTCTAGTATGACTGGAATCTGGACAGATAGATCAGGGCGAGCCTTGGAAGGACTGTGTGTGTGCACCTGTGCTTATGCTACGTTTCACAGGCATTTCTGGTTTTTGTCAGAGATGTTTTCATGCAGTTCTGCATCTGAATACTATGAGCATATGGGAAACATTTTTAAAGCCACAGGATAATGGCAGAATTAAATATGTTCAGCCACTATAGTCTTATAGACTGCATATGTATTGCTTTTTAATCCATTCTGACAATCTCTGCCTTTTTATATGTAACACATCTTGGTTACTGTACTATGTTAATTCTTTTATTAAGTTTTTAGCACTATTTTTTTGTTTTTTTTTTTTAGTGTGTACTTGCATGAGTAATTGCAATATGAATATTATAATTTATCGTAATTTATATCACATTAATACTGATTTAATTTCAGTGAAACACAGCAATTTTTTACCAATATAGCTCCATTTTCTCCCCACTGACAATGACTATGAAAAGTCTGAGATTCTACCCTACTTGCAATTTAACAAGGTATCCAGCTTAATAGATTCTGACAAAAGACATGAGTTTCCTAGGTCAGAGATAAAGGGCAGTTTAGTACTCACAGTAATTGTGTTAGCCAGAGCATCATCACTTGTACCAATTCCTCATGACTGAATTCCAACAAAGTGATACAACAAGGGGCAAAATACTATAATATAGTTCACTAGAACAGCAACAATGAATTGTGTCAAAAGGATACTGGTACCAAGAAATGTAAAATGTAAAGTTTCATAGTCAAAAAGTTTGAGAAGTTGTACAACTATATCTATCTTGTGTATACCCACAATATGCACCAGTGTATTAAAAGCTGTAGAAGTCTTACAGAAAAGAAAGCTACTTAATTTTCTCTGAAGTGAGAGTTCCCTCAATTATTTGACTGCAGAATCATCTTCTTTTTTTATACATATGCCATAATAACCTGCAGAGATAGTGTTCCACATTCACATTGCTAACTTTGCTAAACACTGATCTAACAAACATTAGGAATGAGATGTAGGCAGCTTATTTTTAAATCAGCATTAGAAATATGGTCCTTATGAAATAAAAGTAAAATAAGTATCATCCTGATTTCTTTGAAACCACTTAGCGTTTTTCTCTTCTTCAAATGATTCAAGTATACAACGTGTTTATCTGTGCTCTGCTTTGTTTTGCAGGGGATGTGATCAACCTTGGTGACAGACAGCTCACTGTCATGCACATGCCTGGTCACTCCAGAGGCAGTATTTGCTTGCACGACAAGGACCGCAAGATTCTCTTCAGTGGAGATGTGGTGTATGACGGGTCACTGATTGACTGGCTCCCATATAGCAGGATAAGTGACTATGTTGGAACATGTGAACGTCTGATAGAATTAGTGGACAGAGGTCTGGTAGAGAAGGTGCTTCCTGGGCACTTCAATACTTTTGGTGCTGAAAGGCTTTTTCGATTGGCTTCCAACTATATTTCAAAAGCAGGGATATGTCACAAAGTTTCTACTTTTGCTGTACGTTCTCTTGCAAGTTTAGCTCTACGGGTAACAAATTCTAGGACCTCACCCTAGTATCTATACCAGTAATCTATTTTGATTAAGTATATAAATTAATCCAGTTCATTCTGTGCTATTTAAATGGTTAGTAGTGAGCATTTCAATAATGCTTACTATTCTTTATACCTTTATTGTATATTAGAAAAAAGAGATTGAGAATGAATAAGCCAAAAAAGGAAATGCTTTAGTTTAATTTGTTTTCTTTCTTCCAATTAAGAGACCACTTAAGTAAGCTTATAATTTGCCAAAGCTGTCATGTTGTAATATTTGCTCTAGAAACGCCGTAAAAGTAGACGGGAAAGCAAGGAAGTATTTTATAGCAAGCGAAAGAACTGTCCTTGCCTCCTATTTGTTTTATTTTGTTTCCTAGATGATCTAGGAAAAAGGGAATGTGAAGTTTTATGTTTATACTCCCAAGTTGATATTTTTTAGAATATTATTTAAAGATAAAGATTCTTGAATTTAAAATACATTATAACTTAATACACACATATAAACTAACATTTAGAATGACAGCTGAAACATTCCATTTTTCTGATCTGAATTTTTTATGCTATCATGTATTATTTATGTAATTATTGCACACATGATGTTTGTAATTTAACTTAAGGAAAGTAAAATGAATTTTGTTTTGTTGCAGAGCTTTAAATATCAATTGCACCGTGTTTCAGTAAAAGGCTACTATATATTGTTGTTTGTTATTATGTAAGTAATATTTTTGATCATAAAAGTGAATTTCAAATGTCTATAATCTAACTGCAAATTGTCAGATTTCTCAAAAGGACACTGTCAGGCAAATTTGAAAATATACACATTGAGAATAATTTTTTATTATATCCTATTTTAATATTAACAGCTATTATAAGCAAAATTTTTCTTGTTAAATAGCAATTTCAGTATTGTGTTAATGTTTTACAGTATCAAAACAACTATAGAGATCTACAACATCCTGATATAAAGTATTCTTTTATTTAACATAGCATGGGTATCTACTAAGAAGGGTTTTCAAATTAATTGTAAAATGTGTATTAGATACTGACTTAGAGTGAGTTGCCTTTTTTATCCTGATTCACAACACCTATTCCTGTTCAGTATTGTTTGTCTTGAGAAGTCTACATTCAGAGAGTCATAGGAAAGGTTGTACCACTATTTGGTAAAATGTTTTGGTTTGGTGCTCTTAATAATAATAATTTATTAAAAAGCCTTTTGGAATATTTCATAAAAGTTTTTTTGACATGTCTAAAACTAAACTATGATAGCTTTGGAAATCATATTTTTTAATAATAGAAAGGTCCAGCAATTTTGATTTCTGAAAAATTATAAGATTTTGTCTACCCTACAAACACCCAGGTTCTTTAGTTATTTATTCATTCAACACACCAATGCACACACAACATACAGCCCCACATGTATACAGATGCAGTCACATATATACATGTACAGCTCTGCGCTAAACACTGTGGAAACTTAAAAAATCAAAGAGACAACATTATAGCTAGAAGTTGAAAGCACACAAAACAAATAATAACATATGCAAGCTGACATTAATATAAAGTACACGTGAGTGTAAGGGATATAAATGAAGGGTGTAAAATTTTGTTAGAGAAAGTTTCCTTGAGAAGGGCTTTTTGAGTCAGATTTGGAAGGATGATTTGTTAGATGGTTGGGGTGGGGAGCTAAAGGATATAGGGATGGGGTTGTAAGCATTGCTGTCTACAGTGGTCCATTTCTTGTGACAATATAAATTTCATTTTCAGGAATCCCATATGTCCCAAATACCATGTATTTAGCATTAGAAAGATGGACTGTGATGGTGTACATGAGTCATCCTTGATGAAAGACAAGCTAAACTGCCATATGCCACCAAATGAACCTTTACTTAGAATAAAAAAGGAGGCTCTCATTGGTTGAAATGTGGAACATCACTGACGTTCTCTGTGATGATCATTCAAGGCAGTAGGTCTGTTTCAAATGAGTTGTAACATCAAGAATATAGATTAGGTTCAGGGCAACTACAATCATTTAATAAGCCTTAAATATAGCCATTATTTTTATATCAGTAGCACAAAGGAAAACCAAAAGTCCTTAACCATTTGCCATTTTTATCATGTTAGGCTTTTTTTTTTTTTTTAAATCAGGGTATAGTAGGCACTAGATTTTATTAGAAAATACTTAAAACTTATTGAAGGATTTCCTTATTTATAAAAAGTGCAATTTTTCACAGCACATTGTTTTTTAATTTCCCATTTTTTTCAGCTTTTCAAATTGTACCTCAACATAAGACTGATATTTTGCTATTGCTTCAATGTGAATAAATTCGGGAAGGGATATCATTTATTGAGTGCCCATGATATACATTTTAAATATGCATTTTAATTTACTCATAGCCCCTAGCACCAAGAGGTAATTGACCAGCATCAAACAACACAACGTTGGATGCAGCTGATAAGTGAACACAGGTCTGTCTGCCCCTGTCCTGTTCTTTCTCTCATACTTGCACAATAACATAAAATTGGCAAAGTGTATTTTTACTTTCTGAGATGCCACACGTGCCAAGAATAAATCAAATGAGGTTAAACCATAATGACTTATCTTTTTAAAGCTTTTAAAAAATATATTTTCACCCTGACAGTGCCCCTTGTAATTTATGATTTTGGAAATATTAGTATGTAAGTATAAATCAAAGTTGTTAAAATGTAAGGCATTTAGAAGTAATGTTTATTATTTATATTGTTAATACTTGAGCTTTGGAAATTCATTTTCCTCACTTGATGTTTTCTTCTAACTCAGAAACCTAAAACAAACAAAAACTGTGTGTATTATCCTGAGATAGCTGAATAAATGAATATGTGTATTTGTTCTTCTATAATAGTAATATGTGAACTGCACAAAAAATTGTCCTCTTAACTTGCAACTAAGTGTAAGTAAACATTTGTGTAATAAGTATTAAAGTGAACATTTTATTTCAATCTATAATTGCTATTTTTTATAACATTAGAAAATTTTAATTTCTTACAAGGATATTTCTTATTTGAAATGTGGTTTTGAAAAACTCAGTGAGAAAGATATTAGATTTGTAGGAAAGATTAGGGAACTCAGAAACAGAAAAACACCAATGTTGTAAGCCTTTAGTAAAGTTAATAAATATGGCATTTCAAATCAATGAATAAAAGACGATTCAATGAATATTAAAATTATTGATGTGAGAAAAATGGCCCTGCCATCATAAAAGCAAATGCCAATAGGTTAAAAGACCTAAATGTGAAAACCAGAACCATACATGTATCAAAAGATAATTTAAATCATGTTTAATGCTTTAGAGAGAAACAAAAAGCCAAATTTCATCAAAATTTTAAATGTCTTAGAAGTTCGATACCACAATAAAAGTTAAAGGGAGAAAGATAAGGCTGAGTGCCTGTAGCACAGTGGTTACAGTGCCAGCCACATACACCAAGGCCGGCAGGTTTGACGAGCTCAGCTTGGGTGAGCTAAACAATGAACAACTGCAACAACAACAACAAAAAAATAGCTGGTGTTGTGTCTGGTGCTTGTAGTCCCAGCTACGTGGGAGGCTGAGGCAAGAGAATCACTTGAGCCCAAGAGTTTGAGGTTGCTGTGAGCTGGAACACCACGGCAATCTACCCAGGATGACATCTCAAAGAAAAAAAGAAAAAATGGAGAAAGATTAGAAGGAAATATTTATAAGTCTAGTAACTGGAAACAAATTAGCAAGTATAAAGAATTCCTACCAGTCTATAAGGAGAAGGTAAACGACTGTAACGACTGTAACGGGGAAAGGTCCAATTTAGTTCTGTGGACAGACCGAGAGTTGAAGTGGAGAAATGCAAACAAATTTTTTTTATGTTAGCATTTTTACACATACACAGAGGCCTTCGTATGTAGAAATGAAGACTCACAGAAGCAGGAAGGCCTAAGAGCTTTTATTTCATTTAAGAAAGAATGTTAAGTTGTGGAGTTGTTGATACCGGATTTTTGATACTGGATTTCCAGGCTCTTGGTCTCAACAATTCAATGAATGAATCAACAGACCACAGGATCAACAGTAGTTAGGTTTTTTTCAACAGGTGTTACAACTCTCACAAAGAGCCAAACCTTGCAGAGCAGGATCAGCAGTAATATAGGTTTATACAAGTGTCACAGCTCTTACAAAGAGCCAAACCTCCTTGCAGAGCAGGATACAAGTGTTACAGCTCTTGCTCTTCTGCTCTCTCTCCCTCGGAGGTCTGTGGTGATCTGCTTTATATAGGGGCAATTGTCCAATAAGCTTCTGGGGCCTGAAAACAGACCAATCAGGAGCAGGTTTTGAAAATGGACCAATCAGGGATACACTGGAAGAATCGCCTGTGTCTTCCCCTGCTTGTGTCCGGATCCTCTGGCTACTGGAGCCACTGGTGAGGGAGGGAAGCTCTCCCCACTTGCCTATGCTCTAGCGTGCTCCAGCCTGCTCCAGCCTGCTGGTTCCTCTGCCAGCTGCTGCCACCAACACTGCCAAGATGGAGGTGGCAGGTCCTCCAGCCCCGCTTGGCTGAGCTGGCTGGGGTGCCACCTGTCCCGTATCAATGTGACAAGACAAAGGACGAAGAATTTTGATTAGAGGCAGTAAAATGTAGGAAACTGCTTAGAAAAAAATACAGGGGAAGAACCAGTGGAAGATAAGGGTTATTTTAGGAGGTTTATACAAATTAATCTTGGCATTGACTCCACGTCTTCAGTTACAAAAATGTTCTCTTCATGGTATGGTGAGGGAGGGCACCTTTCTCAAGGGGCATGGGATGCTCTGCTTGTAGGTAGAAAAGGGGGTGCAGGGGCGCCTGTGGCTTAGTGGGTAGGGCGCTGGCCCCATATGCCGAGGGTGGCAGGTTTGAACCCAGCCCTGGCAAAACTGCAACAACCAGGCGTTGTGGCAGGTGCCAGTAGTCCCAGCTACTCGGGAGGCTGAGGCAAGAGAATCGCCTAAGCTCAGGAGTTGGAGGTTGCTTTGAGCTGTGATGCCACAGCACTCTACCAAGGGGATAAAGTGAGACTCTGTCTCAAAAAAAGGGGAGAAGGTCACAGAGGCCTTCCTGCATCCGCTTTTTCTCAGTTGCTTTCACTTAAAATAATCAATATGCCAGAGTGGCATATTTGGGGGTAGCAACAGATTATTCATAGAAGAGGAAACATGTATAAAATAATGGTGAACCTCGCTAGTGGTCAGGGAAATGAAAATTAAAATAGATAATTTAACCAGACTGGGAAGTTTTGAGAATAGGTAAGTGTAAGTGGGTATTCACACTGTGCTGCTAAGAGCATTTAAAGTGCCCCAGCCCATTTTGCAAGGAAGTTTTTGGCTGTGATTTGGCACATGCAGACTTCGGGTTAAAAATGACAGTTTGAGTATACATCTTACTCTCTACTGCTTGCTGAAACTCTTAATAAAATGACAAGAGAGACATTTATTTATTTATTTTAATGAGGCATAAGTTCATAGGAACAAGAATGATAAAGGAACAGAACATTTTTGGACCCTGAAAAGCTGGTGGATGGGTGAAAACTGATTTGACAACCCAGGAAAGCTGAAAACTGGGCCTGGAATTAAGAAAGCTGAGAAGCAATCTTATAGCACAACCCCTGTAAAAGGCTTAGAAATTGATGGTAAAGGTGACTCTAGCAGTTAGGGTGAAGGCCTTTTTGATTCAGACTCTGTTGGTAATTTAGCCCTCCCAAGTCCTAACTATTAAGTAATCCTATCTGACTCCATTTCAGAAAAAATTGG